AATGTTGAGCAGTGTGCTCAGGTTCTCCACAGTATAAGCACTTGATATCAATTGCAAGTTGTCAAAAATGTAAAGCATATAATGTTAATGATCGATTGTATTATTGCAAAATATGGATCTTGTTGGTTGCAACACAAATTGCATCATATTCTCCATACATGGATCAAAACTTTGCCAAAAAAGTCTTCAGATCATCCAATATTGGATCTCATCATTCAAGAAAAGATGAAAACCACAATAATGCTGAACTTGAAAGAAGCATACCAATGAATCTAACTTACGATTCTAGAGTTGGATAGCTTTGGGGTTGAAGTTCAATCATAAGTTCTACTTGATTGATAAATCTTCTAAATTTTGATCTAGTACCATTAAACTTCTCGGATAGGGCAATTTTTAGTTCTCTAACACTGGAAGGGTGTTCCACCATAGGAGAAGAGACATGATTTGATGCAGATATTGAAGTAGCTCCAACCATTTCTATATCTTCGCTTCCTGCCAATCTTGTTGCTTCTTGTGGTGGTAAATTGAGTTGATGTATCGCAAGCATTAACTCCCTCAATTGCTCTTGCATTTGTACCATTGCACTTTTTATTTTAGCAAGTTCTGCTATGATAACACTTAAAAAAGAGAAGGTGTTTAATATTGCTTAAGACAAATAAAAGAGAGGACTTGAGAACAAAGAAAATATTATGAATAATATCACTTTAGAAAGGGATAATCTGCAACTTTTAATACGATTATGTCTTATGAAGAGAAAAGGATAATTCACTCTTAATCAAGATTAGACAAAACTCTGATATTATAAGTACACTCTTGTCAATCTGTCAAGGACAAGAACTTGATAAAAAACAAAAAAACAAGTGAGACTTTTCTCAAAGAACGATGAAAAAATAGAAATAACTTCATATGTATATTAAGAAAGGAATTCGAATAGCTATTGCCAAAAGACAAGAAAAATAGAGATCCTTGAAACTAGACTAGAAACAAGAAAAGAGTTGACAAGAGAGAAGAAGGCTTCACTCTTGCCTCTATATATACTATCTACCTAGGAGCTATGTGGCGACATTCTATAGGACCTCCAAAAACTTATTGACTTTGCACAATACATATCTTAACTTACAAGGCAAGTTTTCTACGTGAGCGCTACATAGTTAGCTTGTTTTGCAAGCTACCAACATGTGTGGCACGTGGTTAACTTGTTAATCAAGTTTCTAACCTACCAATCAAGTACAAACACATGTAAAGTCAAAGCAGCATCTATGAAGCTTTTTAGAAGCTTTTCTAGAAGATATTATGAAATTAATCTACTTTTACCTACTTCTACCTATTCATATCACCTAGAGAACAATTAGAGTAATTACATGATTGTGACAACCATTGTTTGGTTTTCAAGTTTTCAAATATATTTTATATTAAATTTATTAGCACTTGATTTTTTTAGATTAAGTTTGTAATAATATAAAGAAGATTTGATTTTATACTTTAGCTTATTTGATTTATATTTTTCTATATACTACTCATTTCTAGCTTATTATTATTTGTTGTTATTATTATACTAAAGTATAAATATTGCTTTGAATTTTAATTATAACTGAAATTTCTTATATACATTTTTTAAGTTAGATGAGCTATGAATGTAGAAGTTTTTTGTATTATGCTCTTATATATGTTTTATACTATTATAAAGCTATTTGTGTTGGTACAATGAGATTTTAGAAAAAATTCTTTTTGTATCTATAAATGATGTTTGCAATTTGAGGTAGTTGAGTTCTATTATTTTTATTACATTTGATAGTTCTCATTCCATGACTTCCATCTAAGTAGCATCTATACTTAATATGCAAAAAAATTATAATTTATTTGTATGAATCTATGTGTATATATATATATATTTTACACACACATATATATATCTATTAATATTAAATGGATTGTTTCAAATTAAGTTTTTTAATCTAAATTAGAATATAAATAAATATTTTTTTTATTTTTTTATGCTATTATTATAATAAAATTTAAAATAAAATTTAAAATTATTTTTTTGTTAGTATTTCTTATTATTCTAGATTTATTTAAATATTATCAAAAAACAAATTTAATTAGAATTCTAATTTTGGTTTATAAAACATTAAAAGCATAAAGATTGAAATTAAGAATTCACTACTCCATATAAAAATTTTAATTATGGTTTAAGAAGAGTCAAATAGTTACAAATTTTTAACAATGCTAAGCTATTAAATTTAAGCAAAAAAATAGTTTTTTATAAAATAAAATCAATTTTAAGAGAATATCTCATTTTTTAATATTTACAATCCAATACTTTAAAATTAAGTTAGACAATTTTCTTTCTACATATCTAATTTTTTAATGACATTGTTTAAAATATTTCATCTTTTGTTTAGCATCTATACTAGCTTTAATCATATACTTAAAGTTACCAAGTGACATACCTTCAAATCTTTTTAAATGCTATAAATTAGTTCTTTTCCTAAAATTTTGTTACAAAATTCAATGATATCATTTTCTTAGGTAGTTTATTTTACATTGCGGTTCCATCCATCTTTCTTCTAAATAATTGTATAAGGCTTTTGTAGTCTTACATGTTTTACATGTAATAATCACATGTTGCTTCATGTGATTATTGCATATGACTCCATCTTTTGTTGTGCATGTGTATAGTATTGAGATTTGTATTGTTATAAAGGGCTTCTTCTATTTAGCTTGCAAAGACACATTAAATTTCTACTCATTTATATAACAAAACCTGATTTTTATTCCCTCAACTTAATCCTAATTTTTATTTTATTTAAGGACTAAATCTCTTTAAAACAAAAAAATTAACTAATAATTTTGCAAAGTCTACAATAATAAACAAAATAGAATTGTAGTTATAAACAAGAATCTTATAATCCTGTATATGGTGGCTATTAGTTCTTAAAAACCAGCTTTAATCCACTTTTCAAATTTCTCTAGCTTGGAAAATATTGTTAATCCATGTTAATGATTTTTTACTCTGCATTATATAATATTTTAATATAGAATCTTTCTTTTTGGTCAAGTTTGTGTGCAAAATAAAAGTGTTGCCTACACAAGAATAATTTTTGTTAACAATTTGATAGCACATTTTTAGATGATGACCTCTTTCATGGCAGAGAGTAGTTAAGTGATTTAATTGAGTTATGAAACTCATTAAATTACTGTTCCAAATCTTTAACTTTAAATTAAAAACATTTGTTTATACTTTAACATTAATCAAGACCTAAAATCAAACAAATCAAAGATTACAGGTATTTATATTTGCACTACAAAATAATTTCAATGCTGTGCTTCATATATGGACAAATTTATTCGTAATATCTTAGGTTGGTATTAATAAAGATCAATCTGAAAATGATTGTTGCAAGTATAAGCTCTAGCCAAGTATAAATTTGGCACTTATATTTATTTGTATTAGTTGACATTTAAAATTATTATTAAAAAATAAAATAAAATAAAAAATCCACTTGATTCATTAATGTGGATGAATTACATGTTTAAGAGGATTATGAAAATGTTATTAATATGGTTTCCTCAACAGTTATATATATGTTTTGCCGATTTATTGCTATATTAATTAATTAGTTTATTGACTTAACAATGATACAAAATCATTCCATAAAATATTGTGGCTAGGATATGACCTTTAAGTAATTACACTCATATTAGATTGTGAATATATTCAATAACATATTTAGCTTTTAATTAAATTTTAATTAATGTCATTAAAATAAAAACGAATAATTATAATATCCTGATTACAAATGAAAAAATAAATAGAAAATAAATACGAAGTTAGCTTTTTAAATTTTGCAACACATTTGATACCTTGATCATGTTTTGAGTGGATAAGTTGACGTTGTTTGAACTTTAGAAATAATTGTTTGTGATCAAATACACCAAATCAATCAAAATTTAAATCATCTTGTGCGATATATATTTTTTGGGTACAAAAACACATGTATTCAAAAACATAAATGTATTCTTATTATTATTATTATTATTATTTTGTTGTTGATATGTACTTCCTACTTTGAATTTTGTGCATGTCATAATATTTTGAAAATTTAATGAAGTTTATTTGTTAAAACTTTGTGAAAGAACTCTGATCCAAACCAAATAAATTAAAAAAAGTATTATAAAATAATATAAAATAAATCTTAGATCGGTTGCATACTGAATGAACCAAAAAAACATAAAATAAAAAATTGAACTAAAATATAATATCTTAGTAAACTTTGCTATACAAATCTCCTGTCATCAATAACCATTCATAAAAAAAGAAAATTGAGATAGTAACTACATGAAATGCCTGTTAATTTATTCTTGAAAAAAATAAAAAATAATAAAAAAATAAAAAAACCATGAAAAAACATATCAGTCCTTAAAATGAAAAATCGAACACTTCATTTTTAAAACCACAACCCAATTCTGTCAACAACTCAAAATTTAAACACAACTTCATATCACTATTTGATTTTTTTTTTATTGTTCTTCCATAGAATTAAAACAAAACATCCACAGTAATATTATCATCAAGCTCATGTAAAAGACAAAAAAAATAAAAAAATAAAATAAAATCATGATACAAACACGATCCAAACATTCTATTTTTCAAACCTATCCATCCACCACATCCTGAACTATAGACATTGGTATATTAAACAATAGTCAAGTTCCGCACAACAGTTGGAAAAAACCGATGAATCTACAGATGAAAACTAATGTGCAAAGCTGCTGAGCCTACAAACAAACTGAACACATCTCCGAGGGGACACAATCCCATAAGAAAAAACTCGCACCACCCATTACTCAGAAAACCATGCAGGCAATTGAAATAGTAACTCAACTTTTCAGTCCAGATTACAACTTCAGTCTAGGTTTACAACTTCAGTGTAAATTCCAACAACTTCATTACATAAAACAGCAACAGAAAAGCAAAAGAAGAAAAGAAACCAGCTTTCGTCATGAATGGAGTGATCCCAAATTGGAACAAGCCCGTACACGATTCGGCGGAGGAGCACTCGGAGCTCATGTCGGTGGGTATCACCTGCGAGAATTCCGTATCAACCACGAGCGTGATCGTCTCAAGCGGAACTCCGGAATGTTAAACAAAGCGACTGAACCAATGCTTTTATGGGTTGTTTGCTTCGGTTCTTAGGGTTGATTGTTCGGAGACTTGGTTTTGTTATAGTAGCATGGGTGGTGTCTAGATTTGGGTGTGTCTATACGTGGCTAGTTGTCGATGAATGTCGGGATGGATTTGAGCGGCCTGGTTGCAGAAGAATATTGAGAGTGAGGGATGGTTTGAGCGGGGCCTGGTTGTAGAGGAACAGTGCGTAAGGAGCGATGGCAAAATGGATTAAGTTGAGCAACAGGGGCTGCGATAATTTGTTGCTGCTTGTTGTAGTGCTCCTAGTGGTCTCATCTCATGGAGTGCTCAGTCTCCAGGATAAGAAATGCGACTCCGATTACTGCCTCGGATGTGAATCTAGTGTGCCGTGCGTCGACGCCACTCGTCTGGCGAAAGATGTGCGGAAGTTGCCTGACGAGGGGGAGCTGTCGGGTCCGTCCCTGGATCAGCCGCATCGGATTGCCTTCCTATTCATTTCGGGAGGTCCGGTGCCTTTCGAGACTCTCTGGAGACGCTTCTTCGCGTTGCAGAATAAGAATCGGTACTCTCTCTATGTATACGTGGGTTCTAGCGACTATACATTCCCCAGCGATTCGTTGTTCTTCAACAGCGAGGTTCGCAGTCACAGTGCTCCCGGGAATGTAGGCCTCGCTTTCCGATGGACACTGGCGGTTGCTCTTCTCGACCAGAACCGCCGCAACACCTGGTTTGTTAACGTTTGCGGGGCCTCCGTCCCACTTCGGAGCTTCAACCAGACTTATGATTATCTCACCAGCAGCCGCCACAGCTTCGTCCAATCGTTCTCTCCTATCCGGGGATTTAGATTCTGGGACACCCAACCGCAATTCGACCAGAGTGAGATTCGGAAAGGCGAGATTTGGATGGCGCTGCGACGGAAGCACGCCACTATAATCGTCAAGGACCGTGAGACCTTCATCAAGTTCGCTTCAAATGCTCGTGAACCTGAGCATGTTTTCGAGGATGAGTACTTGCAGACACTGTTGAACTTGCGAGATCCGAGCGGAATCACCAACCGCACCGTTATGTTCGCGGATTACAGTAACACAGGTGTGTTGCCGAGGGTGTTCCACACGGGCGATAGTTATAATATGCAGCAATTCCTGCACGAGATGGTGACCATGACGGTCGATACAACGTATGGCCTGCAACACTTAATCGCTGTCGACAACCGTCCTGTGCCCTGCGAGCTCAACGGCAACCCTGGCGTCGTATGTTTCCTGTTCGGCAGGGTCTTTCACGAGAATTCCTTGCCTATGTTGATAGGGTTGCAGATTCCCAACATATAATCTCGATTAGGTGCGTAAAGATCTGTGAGCTCCTTCCCTTGCTTTACGTTATGCAATCAAGCTTGCTAGTAAGTTTCTGTTCTTCCATGAATGATAAAAAGAAACACTAGGTCTGATAACTAGCATTGCAGAAATGGTCACGAAACTGCTTCAATCATGGTTACACTCATCGAAGCCAAGCCAAATCTCGATGCTGGGCAATATTTCTACAAGCTCTTAGTTTGACGGTCACTGTAGTCAACAAGGTCCATTTACAAAACTAGAAAAAATGTGAAGTGCATCATATATAGTTGGTGTCATCCAGGTTGAACTCTTCTCACATGTCGCTATCGGTGGTGTCCACTCAGATCTACGCGTCTGTCGGTACGTCTCGAGGAGCTGGACGACCATGGCCGATAAACTAAGAGCAAGAGTGGGTATGTTACAGATATCTGCACAAGTACCGAGGAACGTACAACCATCCTATTCATTATTTTTTTCTCGGTCATGAACTTCTCCTGTAGAGGATTCTCTTCTCTGTGCCTGATTGCTTCTATCTCAAGCTTCGGAGGCAAGTAGGCCTAGTAGAATCTGATTCCTTTTGCAAGGTGTGACATGATTGATCTAGATTTCATTAAACAACAGTTGCAGTGGCGTGTCATTACATGATTGAAATAGTGCATAACGGCTGGCTCAACATTGTGGACTCTGCCCTCTATCTCCTCAGAATTTTATCACAAGGGTGTCTTGGAAGTTCTGCAGGTTTTCTATTTTTATAGAAGTTAAAAAAAAAAATTTAGTGGATGGAATTGTCTGCAAACACAATTTTTTTAAAATTTATATTTATTTTTTAAAATTATTAATTTTTTATTTTTACATAGCATGGGTTAACCCCTGGCTATGGACCATTATGTATAATTTGTGATTTCATGGTTGAGATGTTTGAAGAACTATTTCAATATTACATGCAATTTTTTTGGTACATCTTGCTATCTTGTGATTGTTTTTGAATTTGTTTATTAAATTTAATTTTTGTAATATGTATATATATATATATTATGGTTTTTTGTTGTATTTGTATGATATTTATAATCGAGAATTGTTAATGTTACATCTCCAATTGATATTGCTATCTTTTATGTAATAGAAAACTAACTGATAATGTGCCTCTTTCTTTTGTGCATTTTCTTCTATCTTTGCTTTAACAAATAAATTGGCTTATGTTCTCTAATTAGCTACCAATTGCAACTTGACTACTACTTTGAGCTCCTTCTATTTGTAAGTAGTCTATCTTCAAATTACTAAGACAAATACAAATTTTATGCCTTACTTGATCACATCTCTTTAATTTTTCTTGTTTAACCTTATAATCCTTTCCAACTTCAAATAATAAAAGATCCTATTGTTGAGATGATGTTGGTGTATAATTCAAAACTTTGAGAGGATGTCTTCTTTGGCACTATGGAATTGGATTATTTACAATACAAAAGCATTGCAATGCCAATTGAATCAATATTTTTTATGATGTAATCTATTGATTTGGACCTAAACTAAAATAAGTGTTAGCAAGCAATTTGAAAATAGAAGTGATTGCAAGCACTTTGTTTGTCAAAAAAATAAAAAAATAAAAAAAAATAAGCAAAGAAGATAGAAGATCAAGGTGCCATTGAAGATGGAAGTTGCTAATGTACAATACACCATTTTTTATAAGACAAATTTGCACTGTATGCTTGTAAGGCATTCCAAATGAATTGATAAAATCTCTATAACAAATTTCTATTTCTTATGTTTTCTTGAACCATTTGGCTTAGATCTTTATAATATCAATGTAATGGAATATGGATAAGTTATTCATATTGTTGACACATAGAAATAGGAAATTGAAGCCATGTTTGAGAAGTTTTTAGAAGTTTTTAAAATTAGAGTTATGTTGGTGGTCTATGTGGGATCTACCATATAACATTCTAGAAAAGTCTTAGAGTGATTATCTAAGTAGGATCCACTATTAAGAATATTCTAGAAAGTTTTAGGATGGTTGAATAAAATATAAATAAGACTCGCTAGAGCAATTTGGATAGCTTGTCAGATATAGCTTTGGTCTTTTTTTATAGTAAAGTTTAATTTTGTATTTTTTAATTTAATTCTATTCTATTTTCTTTTCTTTAATTTTTTCTTTTATAATCCATTCTCTTTAGATCTGTTTAATTTTGTTTTGATTTACGTTGTCTTATCTTAGGTTGGGATTTATATTACTATAGATTGGAAGGATCTTAGAACTTAGAGATAGTTTAGTCTTGTTGTCATGATATGACATGACTAATAGGTAAAAAGAGTGAAGAAATTATTATATTATAGAAGATCTTACTTCAAATATTGTAGAAAATTATCTTAGAAAATAGACAATAGTCTAAAAAAAAATAAAACTAAAAGTGTAAATACCACCTTTTTACAAAATAGACTTCTACTTAGTTTGTAAGATCATAAATAAGGCAAAATAAGGTAGATTAGAAAAATAAAAGATATAAGCTTATGTAGGAAGAAGTTAGGAATTGATTTTTAAAAAATCAACTCAAAAGGGCAAAATTTAATACCCAGAGAGGACCGGTTATCAACCAAGGTCAAAATCAGACCCTAGGGCACAAAATTAAGCACTGACAATAATTCCAAGGTTCTTTTGTAAATTGAAAAGTAAAATTTGAGAGAAAACTTAATGAGGTTTCTTCAAGCATTAATTTTGAGTGATTTGAGTGTATAATGCCTTTGTAAGAGCTTTACAAAGTTACAATTGTTTTGGATGATTCTGAAATTTGTGAAATAAAAAAGATATTATGTTTTGGAGAATTTCATGAGTTTGATAGTTGATCTGCAATTCAAACCTTGAGGATTAATGTAAATAGTTGTTTGGAGTATATGCTATAAGTTTAAGCTTGATCAAATAGTCGAATTGAAGGTTATTTAATTTTAAGTAGATTGAGGTCTCTAAAATTGGATTCTAAGAGATAGTTAGGATTTCTAAGATTTTTAGCAATCTAATAGTTGGATTAGAGTAAAATTTATGTGTAAAGATAATAGACTTAATTTGCTATATATATGTGAAATTTAAAAATAATTAAATAGTTTGAAGAGGAGATATTGGTACTAGAAGTTCAACATTTAGATTGGAATAAAAGGCTAGCTAATACCTGAGCAGTTTTTAGGATTTTCCTTCTATTTGATAAGTGCGATTATCTTCAAATTTTGTGTGTTTATTGCCAACTTAGTTGTTGAGAAGTGTATAAAATTTTAAGCAAGATCAATAGTTTAATTGATAGATATTGAGGTTCTAAATTGTGCTAGGATTAGATTAAATTGATTAGCTTTTGGTTATGATTTGGTTTAGGATTAGGGTTGAATTAGAATTTAAGATTTGATTTAAGATTTGCTTAGGATTTAGGATTTGGTCTAGAGTTTGATTGAATTCCATTAGGATTTCAAGAAGCATTAAATTAGGACTTGATTGAGATTAAATTAAGATATATTTTTGATTATTATTATATTTCTTTAGGATTTTCTTGAATTCTTTTAAGATTTCTTATTATTTTTTTTGTGAATTTTGTAAGATTTCTTTTAAATTTGATTAAAGCCTACTTAGTATTGCTAAGGTTCAATTAGAGTTTATTTAGTATTTTATTATAGTTAGGATTTTTTTTATAATTTCCATTCTACTTCCTACAACCAGATACATAGTGCATTTTTGAGCAAAACTTCACATAATAAGACACAATTTCATTGATATCAAAGCGAGTGTTAGTTTGTTCTTTGATAGTATTTAGATAGCCATTGTCTAATTGAAGATCAATTATTGTGGTTACATTAGGTACTATTTTGAAGCTACTACAAATAACTTTTAAAAAGTCAATTGGAAGGGAAGAAGGCATTACAATAGTAGAGTTTAGTAAGAAAATTACAGCATGGGAGATATGGCAAAGCAATCTTAGATGGAGACTTAGATACATATTTCTTAGGCTAAATAGCTATTCTGTAAGGACGAATGAAAGTCTCTAAGACAAGAGAATTGGTATTTGCTAGGCTGAAATTAAATAAGCCTGATACATACTTTGGAACTTTGAAGCAAGTAGATATATGCCAATCGCTTTTCAGCATGTGACAATACCTCCAACTATCTGGGACAAATACCACTAAATGAAGTATGTATGTCACTGTCTATTTAAAAGGTGTGGCATCTATTTAGTGATAACAATGAGCTCAAAACTATGGAGCTGTCGAGGACATACTCATGTAAGCTAGTAATTACATATACAAATAGGTAGAAGTAAGTAAAAGTAGATAAAAGTAAGTTAATTCTATAATATTTAATATGGAAGCTTCTTAGAAGCTTCATAGATACTGCTCTGACTTCATAGGTGTCTTTAATTGACTTTTTGGATTAGAAACGTGGTCAACAAGTTGGCCATGTGCCACACATGTTGTTAGCTTGAAGATCAAGCTAACTATGTAGCCCACACGTAAAAAAACTTGCCTTGTAAGTCAAGGCATGTGTCCTACAAAGTCAACACATATTGGAGGTCCTATAGAACATCGCCACGGAGCCCCTAGTTAGATAGTATATATAGAGACAAGAGTGAAGGCTTCTTCACTCTTGTCAACTCCTTTCTTGCTTCCAGTCTAGTTTCAAGGGTCTCTAGTTTTCTTGTCTTTTGGCAATAGCCATTCCAATTTCTCTTTCAATATATATACTTGTTTATTTATATTTTGTTACCTTTCATTGAGTGAAGGCTCACTTGTCTGAATTATTTTTTCATCGAATTCTTGTCCTTGACAGATTGACAAGAGTACACCTACAATATCAGAGCTTTGTCTAATCTTGATTAAGAGTGGATTACTCCTTTTTATTGATAAGATATAAGCATATTAGAAGTTGAGGATTACCCTCTTCTAAACTGATATTGTCTTTAGTATTTTCTTTGTTCTCAAGTCCTCTCTTCTATTTGTCTTGAGCGATATTAGACATCTTCTCTCTTCTAAGTATTATCATGGCAGAACTTGTTGAAATGAAGAGTGCAATGGCACAAATACAAGAGCAATTGAGGGAGTTAATGCTTACGATGCATCAACTCAATTTACCACTATAAGGAGCAATAAGATTGGTAGGAAGTGAAGATATAGAAATGGTTGGAGCTGCTTCAATATCTGCACCAAACCATGTTCTTTCTCCTATGGTCGAACGCCCTTCAAGTATTAGAGAACTAAGAATTGCCCTAGCCGAGAAGTTTCATAGTTCCACATCCAAGTTTGGAGGATTTATCAATTAAGTGCAACTTGTGATTGAACTTCAACCCCAAAGCTATCCAACTCCAAGATCGCAAGTTAGATTCATTGATACGCTTCTTTCAGGTTCAGCATTATCATGGTTTTCATCTTTTCTTGAACGACAAGATCCAATATTGGATAATCTAGACGCTTTTTTGGTGAAGTTTCGATCCATGTATGGAGAACATGATGCAATTCATGTTGCAACCAATAAGATCCGTATTTTACAACAAGACAATCGATCAATAATGTTGTACGCTTCTCAATTTTGATAACTTGTAACTGATATCAAGTGGGATGATGCTGCACTTATTAGCCAATTTCTCTATAGATCACAATATGAGGGTAAAAAATTAATGCTCAACTTACCTGATCCTCAAACATTGA